TACTGGACAGACATTATGGGACAGCCTCAAACTACTCCTTTAAGCATTATGGTCGTTTTAAAGTCAAGGGCTGGGCCAAACCTGCTTGCCAGCCACAGGTGTGGTTTTCCAGAACCGCTGGGAACTTGGGACCTTGAAGTTTACTGAATTCAAATGATAAAAAAAAAACTTATGTCTTGCATTTTTGAAGTTTATTCTTAAAAATGTTACTGATTGAGAAATGCTGAATATTTGACTTGCCAGCTAAAAGTTTAAGATTCGGATTGAATTGGGAAAAACTGTGTGTTGTGGTAGCTAAATGCCTTTGCTAAATGAATGTCTGATGAAAGTGTGTGAGTGTGGAGGGAGGGGGCCTGCCCTCTCCTCTCCTTTGTGTGGCTCCACAACTTTTGTCAGGCGGGCATCTGAGTGAGGATCTGTGAAAACAGGTCACCCCCTCCCTTGTCTGTCTCTCGTCACTGATCATCATGGGGTCGGGACAAAGTTTGTTTGTGTGGGACTAGCCAATTTACTACAGAGAAGGGGGACTGGAACTGGTCTGTGTAAAGCAAAAGCTACTTTATGCTGTCTGACTGTACACATAAGGAAAAACCCTGCTTTAAGGGGAAGACAGTAGAGAACTTTTAATTGCTTTACTCTGAGGTATAATTTGGCTGCATCAGGTTAAAATTTTAAAAATCTAGGATTAATTTAAAGGTATAAGGTTGCAACCCAAAGAAGTTTAACAAAGGCTGGCTAGGTTCCAAGATTGCTTAGTTCTAAGATTGCTTATAAAAAAGCAAAAAATAAGTCTTTTCAAGTTAACTATTTGCTTAGCAAATTAACAAAGTAGCAAATTTCAAAGAACTTGTTATTCATGTTTTTTTATCTCTTTGGTGGACACAGCTCCGCAGGACGAAGATATTTACTGCCTGTGACTGTATTTTGTTTAACTTGCTGTTTTCAATTGTTTATTAGAATCCTCATAGAGGGCATAACCTGGTCTTTTCCTTCCTCCCTCATCCGGATTCTGAAAGCATCTGTAACTGGATTTCAGATGGTCTCCAGGTTTTCTGTCTGCAAGAAACCTCCCTATGCACCCGTTATATTTCCAGGCCGACTCTGTGAGGAAAAGCAATGGGCCTGGGCTGAGACAAGGGGGGCGGGGGTGTTGGCAGTTAAGTTATTGGCTGCAGACCTAACAGGTCTTATCAATGAACTTCAAGGTCACAAAAAGTAACTGTAAACACAGTAGTCTTTCTCTGCCCTGGGTTATTCTTTTTAATCCTATCTTCCCTAAACCAATAACACTTGGGAGTAAATGCTTTGCATTTGCCTCCCTAAACAAAGGTTAAATCGTTTATGTCAATCTGATTAGTGTCATTTGTTGTCCACACCCAGGGACAAATGAAAGTATAAAAAATAAGCCTTATTTTGATTAGTTCTTTTATTCAGGAGGAGCCAACCCGGTCCCTCCCTACAACATGAATGATAAAATGTATGTTAAGGAATTTTAAAATTGCTCAACCCTCACTGCCTTGGGTCCAGTTCTGCGTGTGTAAGAAGGGATAGAGTAAAGTTTAGTAGCAGGCCAGAAGAAGAAGCTGGCAAGGCCATCCAAACCACCCAGGCACTATTGGCCAGAGCCGCCTGAGGGAGACCTCCTCGGACTGGCAACAGCTGACTCTGACTAGGACAGACTGGGCTTTTTTTCCAACTGGGCCCCCATGAGCCGATGGTCAAAATGAGGATCGGGGGCCAGACTGTGAACTTTAAACCACTTTTGCCCCAGATGGCTCAGCATAGCCTTGCCTAGGTGAAAAGACCTCTCCAATAATCCTGTCCTTAGCAGTGCCAAGAGAGGAAGAATGGAGACTTTATACCCCCCAGCCAAAGGCCCCCACATCTGTTCTTGTCAGGCCCCCATCAGGGGGCTTGGGCAATGTTCCTGTTATCTGCCAAAATTCCAAAGACTGTAAAAGTACTTGTTCACTGAAAAGATGTAAAAGTGGATGTTTATTTGATATTTATATATCTACTTAGGTATAAATATTTGTAAGATAAATAAAACCCCCGGTTAGTTTCCTGGTGATTCTGGAGCAGCCTATTCAGTCTTGACAGAGCCAATGGGACCAGTAACATCTAGGAAGACACCAGTTCTAAGAGCCACCGGACAAACTGCCTTTTTTCTTGGACATCAAAGAGGACTGTGGACCTCAGAAAGAACACGGTAACTCATTCGTTTCTAGTCACGCCAGAATGCCTGTACCCCTTACTTGGACATGATCTCTTACAGAAATCACAAGCCACCCATAAGCTTGTTCGAGATGCCCTGCCAGTGCCACATTGGACTCTGTACATCCTTTCCAGCCTGGGGACTCGGTGTGGGTAAAGAAGTTCACGACCCCAGGACTCACCCCAACTTGAAAAGGACTATACCTACAGAAAATTGTATAATAGACTCAGATGATGCCTGCATCTTCATAGACATGGCTTCAGAAAGACAAGGACAGTTTTACCTTATATAGAAAGGTCAAAGAGTGGACTTTAGTCACCTCCCTAAAATGTTTGTATAGCCCTGCCATATCTCATGTTTAGTAGCGGAGGATTTGGCTGCCTGAAGAAGCCATGATGCCAATATTATATTTTATTGTATTAATATGTTATATTAACCTTTGATTCTCTTGCAGGTTTGAATGTAGCTGTCAGCAGTTGCTGTAGACCTGTGTTGGTCTACAGTCCTTGATAGTCTTTGGGAGTAACTGGCAAGTGTTCAGTTTCCCATACTGAAGGCCATTGTTATGGCCATATGTTAACTGTCCTGGAAGGGGGCTATATGGGGTGAACCCCAAAAGTAAAGGGTATCTAGCTGCCAAGAGGGCAGGTGCCCAACTAGGTAAAGAAAAATACCCATCAGGTTTTGGTCTCTATTAAGAGACAGTTAACAGTTGGCAGCCTGTATACTATCTTGCAGGCCTGCGTGACCATGCCCATGTCAGGGGTGGTACATACCTCAACTGTAAAAGAAAACTAGAAAAGGCCTGTTTGAAATAGAAGGTCTAAGGCATAGTTATGCATTTTTAAAGGACATAGAAAGAAAGTTTAAAAGCTAATTTGAAAGTATAAAATTTAAAAAGATTATGTATGTAATAAAAAAAAAGAAAAATGTTAAAAAAATTAATCAAATAGTACAGGCCAGTAAGCCAGAGAGAGTAAATAATTTACATTCTGCCTCCCTAAACAGAGGGTAAATAGTTATGCCAAAGTACTTAGGGGGGGACTGATAAAAGCAATCCAACAATTACTGTTTTGTTATAACTCTGAAAAGTCCATGAAAAGGGACTGGCAAGAAAAATCAGAAGATCTTAGAGCAGATCAGTATGTTTTTCCCCTTATATAATTCCTCTGAAATCTGGCAATGCTTATTAAGTAATGGCAATACATTTCTTTGCATGAAATCAATAAGACCGGTTTTCAATAGTGGTTTTATTGACCAGAAACTTTGGAGTACCACGTTTTAAAGAAACCTGTCTGAGCTCTGAAGACTTGAAGCCAATAAAAGCGCCACAGGAAAAGCCTGGTATCCTGCTTGGGAGCCCTGAAGATGGCTGGCGCTGGAGCGTCAGGCCCAAGCCCTACCATCACTGGCGGTTGGTAAGAGTAGAAGGGGAGCAGTAAGGATGCCTCTGCATCCCTGCGGAACCCCCACTCACTCTGGGCCGCAACGAGTAGGAGGGCTACTGAGACGGGCCTTAAAGCCTAGAGTGTGGGCTCAGGTGGAGTTGCTACAGGTGAGGGATTCACCTAACGCAGCAGATACTGCAGGCAGGCCTGATGGCAGCTGGATGGCTTGGCTTCCTGGCCCTACGGGGCACATTAAGATTCAATCATGAGATTCCAGCAAAGGTAGTCAGTTACCATTCTTGTTGTGTTTATGCAAACATCAGGCCAAATTGAATACAGTAGATAAATTAATCTTGATTTGGCTTTTTGATGGCCATAGAGGAATTTTTAAGAAGAAAAACTCTATTTCGATGGAGGTTATTAAAACTGAAATGTTTTCTTTCCCTTCCACCGGACCATTTGTTATAGTTTGTCTCTGCCAGGTCACAAGCCCAGCTCCTTCTGTGCCCAGGACAGCAGGGAGCCTGACTGGAAGGTGACCTCTGACTAGACACACCCGCAGCAGATCACCCTCAAGAAGACAGCGGACCTCGGCGGACCCCTTGTAATCCTCCTGCTGTTGTTGACTTACGGCCCTTGCATTATTAACAGACTAGTCCAATTTGTCAAGAAGTGTATAAAAGTAGATAAGTTGATAGTTCAGTCCGTCTCATGATTGAGCCGGAAGTTCCAAGACAAGGGGGGAATGAAAGGACAGAACAGGACTGATAGCTGTGTCCTTATCCCCTCTTCCAAGAAAAAGCTGCAGAATGTATCAGTTACTCAGCCTGCCCTTATCTCAGCCAATGGGAAAGCGGGGGAAACTAGCCCAAGGCCAAGAGTATGCTAGCCACCCCCCTGTCTTTGTGTAACCAGACCCTAGCTGCACCCTGCCCTTGTGTCACTAGCCCCTGGCCCTCACTCAACCAACCAGAATCTGCCAAATCAGTGATCAGAGTGTGCCCCCCCCCCCCCTCAAGCCCTATAAATTCTTTGTTCCCTTGGGACTGGGGGCTCTCTCTTGCATCCAGTAATGGAGGCGGGGGCGGGGGGGGGGGGGGGGGGGGGTGGGGTGGGCGGGGACCAAGTCCCGGGCTTGAATAAAAGATTCTATGCTTTTGCATCGGATTTGGTGCTCTCTGGTGGATCTTTGGGGGGTCTTGAAATCTGGGCATAACATTAGCACCTCGAAGGGTTGGGTGCCTCTGAGGTAGACACATGCCCTGGTTTTTCCAAGTGTGCACAAAGTCCTGCTCGCAGCTCTCTCTTCTCTTCACCAATAGCGTCTCGTCTCCATGGAGATAGCGGTGGGGCGGGACTTCCTCTCCCGCGTAGGAGCACTTCCGCCGTGATCCGGAAGCGCTGGGGTAACTGAACGGTGCGGACGAGCGAAGATTTCTTGAGGGTCTGAGTGGGGCGGCAGCGATGCTCACGCCGGCGTTCGACCTCAGCCAGGACCCCGACTTCCTGACCGTCGCCATCCGCGTGCCCCACGCTCGGGTCTCCGAGTTCGACGTCTACTTCCAGGGCGTCGACTTCAAGTTCTACGCCAAGCCGTACTTCCTCAGGCGAGTGGGCCACGCGTCCTGGCGGGTCTCGCCGCTCCCCGGGGTGGGGGTGGGGCCCGCGGTGCCCGCCGCTGCTCGGCGCCCGGGACCCGGGCCTGCTGGGCGCTGGACGCGGCGGGAGCCCGCTTGCCCTCGCCCGCCCGCCCGCCTCCGTCGCACTCAGCGCCACGTTAAAGGGCTTCCTCGCCCGTGAAGGTGGCTGCGTGACCAGACCGCGCCCTGCCGGCTTCCGCTCCTGCACCCCGCGCTGCGTGGGTCCTCGCCCGACCGGCGGGCCGTGTCCCTCTCTCAACGCGTCCTGCCCGCGGACCTCCTACCCGAGCGTCCCCGCCGCCTCTCTGTCGGCCCCCCGTCCCCCCGCCGCGGAGCCGGCAGCTCCAGCCCGACCCCCACCACGCGCCTCCTCCCCGGCCGGTCGCGCCTCCCCGGGGCTGAACCCACCTCCTGGGATGTCCTCCCTTCCCCATTCACTCACCCATTTCTGTGATGGATTTGCCATTCCATGGTGTCTACCAGGCGTGGTTTTCAGGCTGGGGATGTGGTTGTAGCGGGACAGGAAAGTAAGTAAACTCAGCTGCAAGTCGTAGGAAGTGCTCTGTAGGGAAGACCTGGCGGAGGAAAGGGCGCCCTGTTTCTGTGAGCGGATGTTGGACGCAGGCAGGACAGGAGATGGTGATGGTGTCAGCACTGACTGAAGTTTCACCCCAGTCGGTGCTTTCTGTGAATGACCTCCTTTGATTTTAGGAAAGTCCGGCAAAATAGGTTCTATTATATACCCCTGGTACAACGAGGGGCGAGGCTCAGAGAAAAGCTCTTAAATGAGATGGGGCTGTAAAATAAAGGCAATAAAGTAAAAATTTCAAAGTAAAGATCACTCTGCTTACGCGGGGAGTTTTGATGAAGACAAGAAGAGGCGATGTGTGGAACAGCTTAGAGAGCACTTCCTCTTCCGCAGGGGATGCATCCCTGGGGGCAGAGGCGGGCAGGTGGGCAGGTCTGAGTCCTGTGACTTTGGGCAAGTTATTCATCTCAGTTTCCTAATTTGTAAAATGGGACTAATGTTAGTGATCTTAAAGAGTTGATATGAGGATTGAGATAATGCATACATAGTCCTTATTATCGTGCCTGGTATGTATCCATGTGTTCAATCATCAGTCGGTATTGTTTACTAAGGGTTTGTTCTGTTATCTGTTGCTGCATAACCAAGAAACTCAGTGGTCTAACACACAGCCATTTAACTCCCTGTCCTGGCTTCTGTGTCAGGAGCGTGGCCCGCTGCTCTGGCCAGGTCAGTCGCGGTGCCAGGTGGCTGGGCCTGGAACAGCCTGAGCACCTGGCGCGGTGGGCGGGTGAGGAGCCGCAGGGGCCTGTGGGGTCTCTGCAGGGCCCAGTTGTGATTCCTTCAGGGAGTTGGAGCGCTAACAGGGTAGCTGAAGCTTTTGAAAGTATTCTAATCTTTTATCACTTAATCCCAGAAGTCAGTGTCACTTCTGCTTTATTGTGATGGTTAAAACAGTTCCAGAAGCCACTCACTTTAAAAGGGAGGGCGCTTACTATAGACCCCACTGCTGGGAGGAGGGATGTGAAATGGGCCGTCTTTGAACATACAATTGGCTGCAGTCTATCAAAGGCGACTAAAACCTCACCCCTCTCCTTGCGGAATTGAGAGTCCAGCAGGGGAGGCAGATCTGTGAACAAATAGGATTTCACTATTATGTAGTAAGTGAAAGGCGCGCCGCCCGCCTCTCCGGGCGGTGCGGGAGGAGGAGTCTGGCCGCTGGGCTCTGGGATCCCTCCGCGGCCGCCGGCCTCCCCGGAGCGGGTCCGAGTGTCCGGACCGGCTGCGTGGTGGCCGGCGGCGGGCCGAGGGGTGGGGCCGGGCGGCGACCGACCGCGGGGGAGGTCATGGGAGCGGAAGGCCTCACCGCCTGGCTCTTCCCTCCCTTCCCCCGTGGTCGGCTCCCCGCTTGCCCGCACTGGGGCCGGGGGTCCATGCGGCCCTTGGGGCCCGGTCGGGGGGGCCGGGGCCTGCGTGGGCCTGCCGCTGGGCCCCATGGGGGGGGGCATTGGCTCCCCAGCCCACGGCGGGAGCCCGGCATGGGCTGCCACCCGCCCGCTGCCCCCCGACCGGGCCCAGTGCAGCAGCGGCGGCAGCGGAGTGGGGCGCGTGCCCTAGCTCGGGGATGCCGCCATGCTGCAGTGCACCGGCCCCATGGCCGGGCCTGCTCCGAGCGGATGCCGCTCCTCCAGAGCTGGGCCACTCCACCGGCCGCACCCCGTTTGCTGGGCCTGTGCCGCCCAGACGCGCTGGAGTCCCAGTCTGCCCGCAGGCCGGCTGCGGGTGCTGTGCGGGGGGGGGGGGGGGGGGGGGGGGGGGGGGGGCCGTCCTGCCTTGTGGCGGGTTCGAGCGGCAGCAGTAGGAGCCGGGCAAGGACTGCGCCCTCCATCTTGCCTTGGGTCCTCCATCTTGGGACAGAGCCATGTGCGCCCTCCATCTTGCCTTGGGTCCTCCATTTTGGGACGGTACCATGTGCTTCCTCACGGGAAGAAGCCGCTGCTAGCCACACCCAGGATTTCTCTGGACTAACCAATAATAATCAAGGGAAGTGCACGCCATCACTATGACCAACTCGCGCCTGGCCAATCGGCGGGGCCCACAGTCCCCTCTCCTGCCCTCACTCCACCCCCCTTTAAAACCCCCTGTCCCATCAGGCGTCTTTCTCTCTCGGCCACTGGAGCTTACCGTTGCATCGGTGAGTGTGGCAGGGGAGCCAAACCTAGGTTTGAAATGAATGACTCTTTGCTTTTGCATCGGACTGACTGGCTCCCTGGGGGGGGTCTTGGGAACTTTGAATTCTGGGCACAACAGTAAGAACTTATACTTCTATGGAGTCTAGGGTAAAAGTTAACATCTTTTAAATGCTCTTTGCATTACCATTTCTTTCTTTTAGTAACCCTGGGATAGATTCTGTTATTTTACGTTTTTTACAGATAAGGAATATGAGCCTTGAAGTTAGTTAACTTGTATGAATCAAGTTAGAGAGTTGGTAAATGGCAGAGCTGGGATGCAATTCAGATTCTGATAGTAAAGTTAGTATTTGTAACAATTATAACTAATTTATAAACTGACTCCTTATATTGGGTTTAGGAGGGATATTGGCTTGGAAAATGCATTGTAGCTCCAGGAAACATCGGGATCAATGGTAATGAAGTTGGGAAGCCCTGGGCCCTTTGGGGTCTACCAAGTTTTATTATTATTACTATTATTTTTATTGTTAGAAAAGGAAGCAAGGGAGAGGCAGGTATGAGAGGAAAGGAGGCTCAGATTTTAATTTTGGAATGGAACGGTGTTGGCTTGATATGCTTCATGATGAGTTTAATCTAGTCAGTGTTGGGGCAGTCATGGAAACTTTTTCAAATAAAAAAGTGACAATCAAATCTATTTTATTTTATTATTATTATTTTTAATTCTTTATTGTTGAAAGTATTACATATGTCCCCTTTTCCCTCCATTGTCCTCTCCCAGCCTGGTCCTTCACCCCCCACCCCCCATTGTCTCTGTCCATTGGTTATGCTTATATGCACACAAGTTCTTTGGTTGATCTCATCCCCACCCCACCCACCTTTCCCTCTGAGGTTTGACAGTCTGTTCCATGATTCTGTGTCTCTGGATCTGTTTTTGTTCATCAGTTTATGTTGTTCATTATAGTCCACAAATGAGTGAGATCCTGAGATACTTACCTTTCTCCGACTGGCTTATTTTGCTTATTATAATGCTCTCCAGGTTCCTCCATGCTGTTGCAAATGGTAAAAGTTTTTTTGTTTATATAGAAGCATAGTATTCCATTGTGTAGGTATACCACAGTTCTTTAATTCACTGATGGGCACTTAGGCTGTTTCCAAATCGTAGCTATTGTAATTGTGCTGCTATGAACATAGGGATACATATGTTTTTTCTGATTGGTGTTTCTGATTTTTTGGGATATATTCCTAGGAGTGGGATTACTGGGTCAAATGGGAGATCTATTTTTAATTTTTTGAGGAAACAACATACTATTTTTCACAGTGGCTGCACCAGTCTGCATTCCCACCAGCAGTGAAGGAGGGTTCCTTTTTCTTCACATCCTCGCCAACACTTGTTTGTTGATTTGTTGATGATAGCCATTCTGACAAGAGATGGTACCTCACTGTCGTTTAGTACCTCATTTGGTACCAAATGGTACCTCATTTTCATTGCTTGGATGATTAGTGACTTTGAGCATGTTTTCATATGTCTTTTGACCTTCTGAATGTCCACTTTCGAAAAGTGTCTATTTAGGTCCTTTGCCCATTTTTTGATTGGATTGTTTATCTTCCTTTTGTTAAGTTGTATATGAGTTCCCTATAAATTTTGGAGATTAAAACCTTATCAGATGTCACATTGGTAAATATGTTCTCCCATGCAGTAGGTTTTCTTGCTGTTTTGTTGATGGTTTCTTTTGCTGTGCAGAAGCTTTTTACTTTGAGGTAGCCCCATTTGTTTATTTTCTCCTTAGTTTTCATTGTCCTAGGACAGGGGTGGGCAACCTACTTGTGAGTGCGTGCCAAAACCAGCAAAATCTCTGGCTCAAAATTCTTCTGCATGCCATCCCTAATTTTTTGAGAATGTGTTACTCCTACTTGATATCTCTTAAGGTGTATGTATGTGAAGAACCTTGAAGAAATAATAAAATTCATTCGAGCAACAAAAACACAGTATATGATGATGAAAAATACATTTATTTTTTAATGTATACATGTACACTGATAGTCCGACAGAAAACTTCATGACTCCGTTTGACATTGTCAGTGGGACTTTGCTGCTGCATCACTGATGACAGAGATTTTACATCAGGTTTGTATTTCGTGACCTTCAGAGATATGCACGAGATACTACTTTCATTCGTCAGGCTACTCCTATTACAAGACTTAACAGAATTCATCACTGAGAACAAAGATTCACAAGCGTATGTGGATGAAAC